AGCAATGGCAGCAGCGCATCACAACATACAAAAGTTTGTAATTCACACTCATACCCAAAACAAAATTCAAGCCTCACAGAGGGAGTGTTTTAAGATCTGCTGAAGTAAAATAAAATCCACAGTTCATCAGTTATTTCCACTGTTTTAGTGTCTTTGACCGAGCTCTTTATAAAATTCTACACACAAAACCAAAGAAGAGTGACTGGAGATGAAACAGGACTGTTCTGAGATCTGTTTGGGAATAGACGCGAACACAGCAGGAGTGAGTCAGTGCAGCAGAAGAAAGCACAGACCCACCAACACCACTGTGGAGCCTCATAATGTAGGAATGCCAGACATACGGTACTAATTATAAACATGATTTAACCCTCTTGGTGATTTTTTTGTACTTGGTGCAGTATGAAAGCATTAGTCATGTTGATGTACTTGAGCATTAGCCAGCTTTGTCACATTCTTACCTCAATGTTGGCAAGAACACCAGAGCACCCCCAAGAGCTGAGAGGAGCAAAAATGAGGCATGTTGGCTAATCTGAAAAGGGAGTTTGCCAGTGGAAAACACACTATGGTTTAAGGCCCCAAGTTGTGAGGAACACAGCAGCCTTCTTTAAGATCCAGAGAAACATTTGGGTTTATGCATGTGCTCGATGTCGGTCTATGCACTGCGGGAAAAAAAGCAAGACACTTCTTTCTATGTGGGAGCTCTGAAAAGGCTCCTGCGCTCCTTTGTGCATGCACACATTTGTTTACATCTCCGAAATGCTTGCATGTTACTCTGGCAACTTTCCCAATCATTAGTCCGTTTCTTTGTCAGGGCTCCAGCCTTTAACAGGTCTGGCTTCTGTCACATAAACACAGTGAGAAGAGAGGATCCGCTCTGAGCACTGCATTGCATTTTATACATCGACTGGCCCGTCAATCTGTCGGTGAAAAATAAGAAAAAGCAGAGACAGAAAAAAAGAAAAAATCTCAGCCAGCGGAGGAAGACCTAAAGAGCCAAACAGGGAAAGGTTTTCTGAAATAATGGGAAGGAATAAAAAGGAATGACAAATCAAATGAAGCATGAGAGAAGACTGAAAGGGCAAGTAGCTTCCCCCTCAATCACCTGGAGCTTCCTCAAATACTGATGAGACATTTATTCTGTAACCTTTTCAAACAGTGAAATAACCCTCAGCACCATCTCACTCGAGGATTATAAAACCTGTCACCGGAAGCAAGCCAGGTAAAGGGGGCTCTTATGTAACATCATAGAATTTAATACCACAGTTAGAGGAGTGGGGAGTGAAACTACCGTTTAAAGAAAGGCAGTATGGAGGGCACAGCTACACACTGCAGGCGCTGTGAGGAGGAGGACACGGTGAGGAAGTTAAATGATCATAAAGTGATTTGCATCAAACAGGACCTTTGTTTTGCAATTCTGATGCCTGGAAAGCATGTGAGGAACTTACTTTGGCAACATCTTTAACTGGTTCTCCCTCAGCTCCAAAATCTGCAGTTTGGTCAACCTGCAACCAAGTAAAAAGGTCATAGTCATAATCATTAAGTACCACAACAACATCTGAGCCTCAAACATTTATTTTCCTTAATGACTTTAATTTGGAAATATTTTTCTCCATTGTAAGAGTCTGGTCCTTTGTACCTTCATGTCACATTTAGTTTAGCTTTACCAATACTTTCCAGTTAAGACGTGAGCATAAAATTGTACCCAACAAGAAAACGTTGTGGAATGGTATTAGGAGCCTTTTGTTCTTTTTCAGTACACCGAGTTTTCTCTGTCCATTTATATGCTACTAAGAAACTGTGATGTGCGTCTACATGACAAGTAACTTTTAGGCAACGTGACTCAACAAAATAATTTTGTAATTTTCTCTTGAACTAAATAAAGTACAACCACAAGAGGTGTTCTAGTGTGAAGAAATAGGCTATGACTGGTATGGACGTCACATCACTTGTGTTGTGTAATCAGAAGGATTTTACACCGTTATGTAAAGTACAAATAAGGAAAGCATGACTGAGCAAGCTGGTTTTATGGAACAACCTGTTTAGCCTGTAAGAAAAGGAGCCACGTCTTAAAATGACGGATGTGAAACTGTCATCATCATTAATCTGAATGTTTGACATGATAAATTAGGTGCAACAAAACAATAATTTGACATGAGGCATACATAAAAATGGGCTTTTAACCCCTGGTGCTGAAGAACAATGTGTTCCCCAGCAGTACATGTGCTTTAATAAACTGTAAATACAACATTTATTGTAAGCACACAATCCCTACAGTACATTAACAGCATGCCTGAGTGCACAGTTTGTACATGTGGCTTTTGTGTTAGAGACAGTTTCTTCCTGATCCAAACCGGAGAACAACCTGACCTGCCGAAGCTGGCGGGTAAGAACTCCAGGAAGGCATCGTTCAGGTAGAGCTGCGTCAAGCTCAAGAGCTGGGTGAAGCCTTCTGGGAGCCTGACAATACACACAGCACAGGAATCACAACAGTCACACACACACCCTGATACAGCTGTTGCAAAGCCACAATGCTGAAACAATGTAGTTAATTATGGCTGAAAGGCATCAGATGAGGGTGAGCTGTACTCACTTTGATATGGGATTCACACTGGCTTCTACAGTTGCTAGGGCTTTGCAATTCTTAATGTTTTCTGGAAACTCTTGGATACCTAGGAAAAAAATGGCAAACATTACTGGATTTAAAATACAGGTCCGCACCGTTGTTGTAACATCTGCACGTTATATCTCAACCGATTCATTAGCACAGACACAAAACAAATGACCCCTGTCAAAAGTAAAAAAGATGAGGGAGAATGCAAGTCATCTTGCTTGTGTTTAGCAGGAGCAGCTCTGTGAATGATAAACACAGGTGGAGTGCGAGTACTCTGGGGACTGAGCACAAGCAGGAAGGCTCTCTGCTGAATTGTCTGTGCTCATGGTACATTAATAGTGGCCTTCCTCTCTAAACAACTAGAGAAGAGCACTCGAGGTGACACAATAAAAAAGGAGAGGAAGAAGAAAAAAAAAGGCAAAGGGCACAGAATGGCGGTCTGTGACTTCTCACCAAGTGCAAACTGCATGAAAGGGGACAAAGTCTCAAGGTTTCTTTTCACCCACTTTGTTTAGTGTCCACAATACTTGGCACAGAGTGTTTTGTGAAGAAGGATAAGCTCCTTGTAATATCAACACAGCACATGCAGCTCTGGTTCATGAAAACACCACCACATCCTTCAACGTTTGTTTAACCATGGCCATCTCTGTACTCATTCATTTATATTAGAAACACCTTTTTAACCTTGCTCTATACATGAAAGGGTTTTGCTGAGCGTGCATAATCCATTTCCACTCTGCTTAGCTTCCAAGTTACAGTGATGATCAAACATCTTACACAGTGGCCTGCACTGTTAAAACTAGTTTTTATTGCTCAACAGTCATTTACGGAACATAAAGTTTTTTAAACTAACAGGCAAAAGAAAAAAAAACCCCTTCTAACACAAAGCTCTTTATCATATTCAACATTGCCAAGAGGTAAATGTCACACACTGACAAATGTTGTCACTTCGCACTCTGTGAAACTGATGACATCATTTTGGGTTGAACACACTGAACCATCTCACAGTTTGTGTGAGGACTAGTTTTTACAAGCTCTACTACGCTGTGCTATGCCGATAATATCTAGTTGACTACAAGTCCGGGCTTGCACACGTCCTGTATCCCTCACATCAGGGGTTTTGAGTAAAATAGCAGTGTGACACAAGGCGGCATTTTACTTCAGAATATCAAGCAATCTAAACACGTGTCCACCATGCCACTCATTCCTCCCCAATGATTGATGGCAGCGCAAGGAAAACCAGGATGGTTCCACTTTTTGTACTTTACAAGTCACTAAACCTGTGGCTGAGGTGTTTTCAGGTTTCAGCAACACGATCTGATGCCACAGTTTTACATGACTCATTTAACCTTGCCAGTCAAGAAGACCTGAGTGGCATTTCTGCAGGAAGGATAAAGACATACAGTACAAACATGCAGCCATTCTACTTACTGTTTTTGCTGACATCAAGCTCCCTGAGATTGATGAGGTTTGCGATCGCTGCCGGTAATACTGTTAGGTCATTATCTGGCATGCTCAGTCGATGGAGTAACTGGCAGTTAAACAGTTGCTGGTGGAGAGTGGGAAGAGATAATCAAGTTTAAAATCAAAAAATGTATGGTTGGACAAGAATGTACAGTAAATTATCAGATATTTAAAATGTCATTATTGTCTTAACAAGTTGTACTGCATCACTCAAAGGCTCTTCTTTCAAAATGGATATGAACTACTAGGTTTAATGTAGAAATTCCTATACATGAGTGTATGAGGCTTACTTTAGGCAGCTCCTCGATCTGGTTGGCATCGAGGTAGAGTTCCTGCAGAGTCTTCTCAAAGCTAAAGATCTCCTTGGGAACAGTCTCCAGGCTGCAGTGGGAGTAGTCCAGCGATGTTACCGTCTCCTCCTCACCCCGCAAGCAGCGGCACGGTACCAGACGAACAAACAAGCTCCGCTTGGACATCCTCAGGCACTGGAGAAGGAAAACAGAAGAGATACGTCAGTGGAGTAGAGTCAAGAAGACAGATGTTTGTCTACTGCTGCTTTTCACTCTTTAGCTTTAAGCATCCAGATTCAGACCATTATCATGGAGAACAATGACTCGGGCTCTGGTCATGAAGGCAGGACAAGGTAGCAGATTTAATTTGGAAAAACGGTTCCACTCAATCAAAACTACATGGCTACATCATTTTCACAGATGACAGCTGTAAACCATGATGGGACATGGTTTACAACAAAAAAAGGAGGCAAAAAAAATCCAGTGCAACAGGTTTTTACAGGGAACTTTGATCTATTCTGCTTGAGAACTCACCCATTACAGAACACGAAGGTCATTTCAGAATGGAGATTCATGTTACCCAGGTTTATGAATACACCGATACATCAGAATGGGGAATGCGATCCTACAGCCATAACCAGTCTTTGGTATGAGCACAACCCAGAAACCCACAGGTCGTTCTATTAGGGAGATTTTGGTGTTTGGCAGGCTGAGTCTTATTTCATATTTTTGTCCAGTTGGTCATGATAACATTTTACTCACCTGCTCCAATGCAGAAACCGTTGCAGAGGTTTGTGAGACACATGATGACATGCAAGAGAAGTAGGAGTAGCAGTGGCTTATTGCTCAACAACACTATCTAATCTCTTCCTACAGCTACAAGGATTTCCAGGTAACCATTTCCTGTGTTTACTTTTGGTCTGGCACCTGCTGATGATCTGATTTAATTCATTCATGCTAAATGCTCCAATTACATTCTTGCTTTAATCTGCACTCACCAAATCTCCATAACGGAAGTAGTGAGTCATAAAGGACAAATATACACAAACACAACATTCTGGTTGACAAATGATGCGGTTTCCTTTTCACATGGAATGACTGCTCAATTGTCCTATTTTGGGGGAACTGCACTTAAAAATATATGCAATCCAATATGTTGTCATAGAGTGTGAAGCTGCCCAACAGTGTCAGCAGATTTACATTAGGGACTGAGTCATTAAATAAAAAATAAAGCAAATATTTCATGGGACCATGGCTTTTTTCTTTAAAAACAAAGAGCCACTGTTTCCCCTTGTTTTTACCAGCACCTGGATATAACGTGATAACGAGGTCAGTATATCATTTTACTGCAGCGCCAAATATAAAAAGACGAAAAATGAAAAAAGAACAGCCATCAAGAAAAACTGTCACGGCACGAGATGGATAAACTATATGATGATAGTGCATGTGAGCTGCACAGTCATGTGGCATGTGGCGTCTCTGATCACGGATGCAGGGACAGCGCTTACACTTACAAATGAGCAGAGCAGCATACTGCTTCCCACTGCAGTGGAACACTGGGGACTTACGGGTAAAGTCAGAGCATGCACACACGACAGTGTTAACGTGATCTTAGAATAACTGTCAAATAGTTCCCAGTGAAGATCAGATAGCATTTTAGCTTGAAATGCTCATCACAGCAGAAGCATTTCTGTCAAAACGGCCACAGGTTGCATCATGCACATTATCCATCCAAGGTATTGTGCAAATCTGTTCTAAAATTTGCATATAAATAACAGACGATCCCTGACAATAGATCATCATTCAACACAACTGATTAAAAGACAAAGAAAGATAATATAATTTATATTTTATTGTTAAGTTTTCACTAATATAAAAGGAAATAGAGAGATATAAAATGCTAATTCTAAGTTTCCTATTTTCTTTCAGTTGTGAAAGGGCTGTTTTCCACAGAAATGCAAACTGAGCAGCTTTTCAATATCATGGGTATAATGTATCCTCATTTAGGTTGAAGCTGAGGATAAACATGCAGAAAGAAGGAGGCTGTGATTCAGCCACCATTTTGGAAATCTTTGTCCTCGACTCCACTGGAAACTAAAAGACATAAAAGCCACGAGATTTCTTCAGTCTGGTTGGGAAGAGCTTAAAAGGAGGAGGAGGGGAGCAGTAAAACTGTTGTAACTTGCTACAAAGATGTAATTTTTACAGCCTAAGTCTCAGGTCAACACAAAGATTTCACCAAGTACAGTATGTACTATGGACTGCACCCTGATCAACAGAGGCTTTGTTCCCTGGGGCACATACACAATGACTTTTTCTCCCCCTCATTTTAATCGGAGCACATAAGCTTGACTGTAACTGAGCCATAAAATTGTGATAACCCTGATGCACACCCTCATGAGACACAGTATATACTTGATACTTTCATAAACACCTTGTTTCATAATAATGAAATGATTTAGAGGGTCCAAATAATAATTCCTATAGGAATTGTCAAACGTTGACTCAACGGAACACTGTTCACCCATCCATCTATATCCAAACTACTTGTGCATTAATGCATACGCCCACACTCATGAAGTCTGCACAACCACTCTGCTACAGCAGCAGGCAGCTCATATATAAATACTCTGAGTATAATGTGGTCTATCACCAGAGGGGATGACAGTGGGCTTGGCTCCATTCACTGTGAGGAACGAACACAGAGCGCAATGATGACGCATGCTATGCAGGGTGGGAGGACAGAGAGAAGAAGGAGTCTGATATGGGCCCCCAGAGACTGGAGGAGTTGGGGGTTATTGTGAGGTATGTAAGCAAAGCAATTAAGAAGCAAGAGGAGACAAAGTGCATGAGAAAAGTTCTGGGACATAGTTTGAAAGACAGGAAAGAAGTACGAGCAAATCAGGGAAGAGGATGACGGATGGTTTGACGATTTAAGGAGTAAGTCAGGAGATACTTTTTTTGTTATTGCCAACAAATCATGTGTCAAGGCCAAAACCAAGAATGATTTGATCCTATAACTATTGTCTGCATGCTTAAATTATGACATATCACATTCCTCTGTGCCTACAGTTCTGTCAGTGAGCAACACCACTGCCTTAGGTGGTATCTTCATTACCACGAACACGGGCACCAACCCGGTAACAAATACTCACTACATGCTCAAATGCATAATTCACTGCTGAAGTCAAGTATTAAGCTAGTGGCTTTGGTGTTTTCAATAGACAGTAACAAAAATACAGAATACTGCCAACCCTAACCTTTAAAAATCTAAAGTGTTGCACATTACAACACACCAAATGAGATAAATAAACAACAGGGGACTTGTGAGTCAGGTACTCAGTCTATCAAAGTAATACATACAAATTAACACATACAGATATTTTCTAATCAGTGTCATTTGCATAATGTGTAACACACTGTTAATCATATACAGACTTCATTCATTGCTGCACAGCTAAAGCTTTTCCTCCACAGGCTGCTAGCAGAATGAAGCACTGCACTGGGGCTGTTGTACATCTGTCTCCCACCTCCTTTGGACAGTGCCGACTAGGTTTTCTGCATCCATTTCTTTTGTGCCATTAAAAGTTTACAAGAATGTTTTTTGGAATAGATAACTGTGGCAGTGCCAGGCTGGCTGGCAGCACACTAACCGCCTACAACACAGATAGGCTTATTCACTGACCTACATGTTACTGGAATGATGACTACCTACACTCAGCCAGCTTTAATCCATCAGGAGCTCTCGACTAAGAAAGTTCAAGCCATGCATGGAGATTTTCAGACATGTTAAACACTCAGCTGGGATTTTCTTTCTTAACCTACTTATTCAAGCAGCCCATTTACTTAAATCAGCATGCTAATAAGAGCTGGACCAGAGAGCAGCTGTATTTATTCAGAAATTTCAGGAGGTGTGGGCATGTGTGAATGTGGACATGTGACTGCAGCCTGGCGCTGATCCTTGAGGTTTCCTCTGTTCAACAGTGAATGAAATGGTTTAGAGGGCAGGCCAATCACAGATTCCCACTTTATTCTCACAGTCAGAGCCAGGAAACTACTTCGCTGTTGCAAACCTCTACCCTGTAACATAAGTGCTTCCTGGGTCAGTGCTGTTGCTATAGAGACTAAGGGTAGAATGAGGGTAGGGTACAATCAGCCCTCCGACCCCTAAAGTAATCCACAAAACACACAGGTGAGCTTGCTCAACCGCTTATGGGGAAAATTCTTGGCAGGTAAAAGGCAAAAAGGGGCTAAAGAAAGCAAATCAACACTCAAAATAGGTCCAGAAGTCAGTCTGTTACTGCCTCTATGTGCGCGTGTGTTTGTCAATGTGTGATGGTTTAGCGGAAACAAGCGCAGTATCTGACAGCAGCAAGCAGTTTGTGTTATTTATAGCAAAGAGTACTGGTCTGTTGATATGGCAGAATGTGATTAGTGTGAGATAGCTCTTGCCTTATGAAAGGAGCTGTTGATCCAGATTGCAATGGACTGTTACAGGATTGCTGGTCCCCAGCTGAAATTTCATAATAGAGATTATGGCAACAAAAACAATGCAGGGGAAAAAAAATACACACAACAGCCTGCAGAGCCTGTGGGATACGCTTGAACTGCCTCTGTTTGAGAAGGAAGGGGAAAGAAAGTCAGTTCCTCAATGCAGGGCGGAGTGCTAGTGAGCTATACAGTGAGGTATGATGCAGCTTTAGCTCCTTTCAAACGGGATTATGTACTTTACCCTGGAGATCCCCTTTATTATTCAGTCACCAATCAAAAACCAGTGCAGAAAAGGAAGTTGCAAATGCTGTGTGCATCCAAGAAGGATTCACACACCATCAGGTTTTTTTAATAGCTGTCAAATGTCAAGTTACACAACCTTTAAGAGGCAACTAAACTATATTTCAACACGAGTGCACACCAGAGTGTGATACAATACTGCTGCTCTGAGATTTCTTAAATTCTCAAATGCATTCTTTGTGTTTGCCAACACAACACAGCAGTGCAGAATGACTAAACATGTTAGTGAACATACTGTAGAGGTGGACTAATAGCTCTATATCCAAATGAGTTTGTAGCTGCTAGAAAATATTACAACTTCAACTACCTCCAATAAAATGCCTTTAAATACGTTTTAAGTGCACGTGAGAAGTTACATCTCTCTCTAATCATATGGAAGGGTAGATGCATCTATGCTGAAAAGCTGTGTATGGCAAGGCCCCTTGTAACGTCTGTCCTCTGGGTGCCTCATTAACGGCAACACATTCAACTCCAGCTGGCACAAGAGGAGAGCTACCGCTTCTCGATGATACAGCAGGATATTGAGTTAAGAGGACAACAGTTCAGCAACTGACTCAGACACCCAGACTGCATACTCTCAAAACCTGCTTAGACACATGTCCGTGGCTTCTCTTTTGTCCTTCTCCACAGAAGGACTTGATAGCTAAACGCAGGACCCGATTCACGAATACAAAAACTAATCAACAGGAAATGATGGCTGGACTTACAGCTGACAATGGCTGGATGAACAACCCTGTTGTGTCTAGTTCCACTTTTGCTCTCCCTGTGGTTTTGATTCTCACTAGCATTCTTAGGTCTCAGTGGTCTTACATGACTCGTATACAAAACCATGATTGTTTTCTTTGAATTGGTGGTGAAATGAGGGAAAGTAATCTGATCTGCCACAAAGACAAAGTGCTTTTTTACAGCATCTTCAAAATTCTCTGTTTCTGAGCAAACTCATCATCAGACTTAATTCTATCTGAACATTTACATGCAACCGACATGCATTCCTTTACATCAGAACATCTCTGTGCAAGGCTTTGTCGTTTCATCTCTTCGCAAATTTAGGACAAAACTGTGCATTATTGTTGCAGCAAGAGTCCATTGTGCCTCATACATGTACGTACGTACATGTAGTAAACCCACTGAAGAAAACACTGGAATCATTAAGTACAAAATAATGATGTACTTGAGCCAACTCAAATATACAGCCACAAAGCCTCACCCCAGATAAGACCACCAGGCTACTGGTGTCAAATGGTACCGTACCATTTGACTTGACAGGGGTGTGGATGTGTTTCCATCTCACAAATGTACATGCAATGCTGCAACATACAGCCCCAAAGTCACTGAGAAGTGTAAGTGTTTCCCCAGGTGGGTTCAAAAACACCAGCAGTTTAAGTTACAGCCAGTGGCCTGGGAAGGTTTTAGGCCTTACCTTACACTTTTCACTGATGTATGGATCCAGATTGTAGTGGGATACATTTGGTTCTCCCTTTTACCATCTGCACACACAGCCTGCCTCCCAGTGCAAGGCATATCAAATATTCTAAATCCTAAGGTTATATCCTCTCTGCCATGCAATGAGGTGATTATTAAGCACATTCGTCTTCTGACCTTTTGTGCAAGCTGGTAACAGGCAATTCACTTAAAATTCTAATGCCAATATGTAGAAAATGATGTATACAGAATCCTGGCATGTTCCCATAGCACGTATAACCAAAGCTTGTGCAGGCACAAGTACTTGATTAATAAAGTGGGCTAAACTTTTTTTTGAAGTTTTATTAAGAATAAAATAAATGGGAATCATTTAGCACTCCAACATTAGCTTGCTTTGCTTAACTTTGTTTTATGTGTTAAAGAGAGATGTAACCACAAAACAAACCTTGAGCAACTTGACGTTTTAATGTAAAACCGATGGAAAGACCCACATGCAGTGAAAACAAGGTTACTTACAGCCTTAAGCCAAACAATAACACCTTAGTATAAAGTGTAGTATCACACACACACACACATTACAAACTTAGTTAATACATTTACTTTTCTTTGTGTAGTAAGATGGAATACAGTAGTACACAGTGTGCAAACGTCATGAATACTTTCTGTTAAACAACTGTGCCATGTGGACAAGTGAGACCCACATAGCAAATGGTCTTACACTTTCACCCATTTGAACTTTCAAGCACACACACGTAACAGTGGGACAGTCACTGAATACAACATGTGGACTGAAGAAGATGGGAATCGAACCGCCGACCCTCTGGTTACCAAATGACCTGCTCCACTTCCTGAAGCCCCCCCAACCTCTCTGAGGTACACATCAAGCAGTCCTCTGTCACATTACTCACAACCACAGACTTGTGATCCATAAGATGAAGCTTTCTAAACACTTTCTCTCATCAGTCTCCACGTCTCCTACTGAGGATTAAAATCCCACTGCAGCCAAAAAACAACAAGACCTACATTTATGACGCGGTGGTAAAGCAAGGGAGACAATTACCTGTCAACATCAGCCAAAGAGAAGGTAAGTAATGGTAAGCAATGATTAGATTTTATTTTGTGATACGGGACATGAATCACATGATACACTGATAAAACACTATATTTACTACCAACAATCCAAATGTACAATGATTCTATGATGCACATAATATTTCATGACAATAAACTACAATATTTCATCATATCTGCACATTTTGCAAACGTATCAATGGGTCAAACACTACATTTATTCCCTGCATTACAAACTCCTTCCTAACTATACATTTTACAGACGCCTCGGTCTGAACCGGTGCATCACTTGCTCTAAATGCCACTGGGGCTCTTGAACAATAAATCTGTGCCTCGTCCAACTCTTGGAGAGTTAAGGTTCCATTTGGAGGTCAAATACTGTTTGTACTAACTCTCATGATGAGAACTACAACTACAGGCTTTCATGAACTACCCTGTTGCGTCTCTGAAAGCCACTTCCTGGCTACATGAGGACTGACGACAATTCTGCTGAGATGTGCAACAACAGGTTATCCTGTGAGACGGGCTCACCGCGGCTGCCGACTGACATCGGCTCTCAAAGTCAATGCAAAGGATGTGAAAGAAAAAACATGTTCACACATAAAGAACAGTTTCATTTTCACCTGTAGAGGTAGAAAGAAAACAGGCCATTTGATTCTGAGCCACAGTTAACGTGTGACACGTACAGAAGGGTAGTTGAATAAATATAAAAGTGTTGCATCATCTAAACAGGTTCAGTCTTCATTATATGTCATGATTCCTTTCAAAAGGTATTGAAAATGAGGAGAAAAGAAAAAAAACAACTTTTGGATCAGAAGTGATGCAAAAGACAAATGTGGATTCTGGAGAGCAGTTTCTTCCTGATTAAACCTTAACCAGAGCAAAGAAGGAGAGAGCCCTGCTAGCTATAAATAGAAACCTGCTCAAAAATGTCTTCCACTGGTATGTTCTTAATTAAATATGAGATCCAGCTAAATACGAGCCCCTGGGACTCATTTCTGCAGAGAAGAGACCTGAACAATGATAATAACTATTATTAACACGTTGACTGTAACTGTAGGAGTTATGACGTAGCATTTATTACATGGACTTCAGGTTCCTTACAAAAGGAGATGCACAGATAAAGTTTAAACAAAAACTAGTCTGCTAATAAAACGGCATCCAAACTGTGATCGGTTGTGATCTAATTTATTTAAAGGACATGATTTTTGTACATTTCTGCTGTCAGTCAGCCTGGTGAAGACCATGCTGTCCTCCTGCTGACAGACAGCTGTTCTGATGAGAAATGCTGCACAGAGGTCAGAGTAGACTGACCCCAGTTTGAAGTTAGTAGTGGCTGAAACCCACCATCAATCCTTCTTCAAGTATTAGACGACTAACTTTAGCCTAAATGAACTGGCACCTACCCAGGTGAGTGAGAGCTGAACCATCTAACAAAGACATCAGCAAAGAGCAGAAATTCTTCAGAAGAAGAAAAATGGGCTACAAATAAATCACGTACACAAATGGCAAAGCATGTGCACAATTCATCTGGTTACACTTCAACTGAAACATAACCTAACTGCTAAGACTATAGAGCCCTAAAGTGGCTAAGGTTATTTAAAGTAATTTATGAAAATACTGATTCTATTGTAAAACAGAGGTGGTATGATATGTTAGTCTGGAGACCTGTTAGAGTTTGTGGTGCTCCTAAACAGCCAAACAATCATCTCAATGCGGCCAATACAAAGCACTAATTATAACCCACGGCACTATAGGAGTGCAGCTGCTGCCTTTCTTTCACCCTGTAAAAACAATGGGATGGCTTCCTTGTGCCCTTTATGACTGAGCAAACTCAACCAAGCATTGTTAGGTCAGTTTTAAGGTACTGTAGGTTTGGGCAAGAGAATGCTGTTGCCTCTAATGGGGCCCAGCAGAGTGATTATAGCACAACTTGACACCCAGTGAGAAGTAAAACACTTCATTTAACATGGGTCCTAGGCCTCCTCCCCCTTTCGCACTTTTGTGTACTGATAACAGATACAACACAAATAACATACAGCCGTTTCAATTGCCTCTGATCTCTTATTATAGTAATCAAGTCTGCTTATTACATTCGGTTAACAATGACAAATAGCATAGAACAGTGGTAGCGTTTTCTGGACTCTGAAATATTAGGCTCCCTCCTGAACTACAGAGCTACAGCACTTAGATACTAGAAAGCACTACAATGAGTTTGTTTTACACATTGCTATACTGCAGGAACAGCTTGCCTCGTGTCCATGGAAACTGAATTATCATTACTGGGCCCCTTCACTTGTTTCATGTCGTCTTCACTAGCAACAATTTCTACCTGCATCGAAAACATGTTGGAGAAATCACAAGCAGAACAAGCTAATGGCTCCCTCCCCTCCTGAGCAAATATGGAGAATCCACTCCACCCCTTTGACACCCTGAAGCAGAAGCCTAGTTTAAAAGCTGGCAGGAAAACTGTCAATTCAAATTGTAATGCCCGACAAGGGACTGGGCCTAATTCTGTGTAATAATGGCAAAGGTGCCTCAGAGCCACTGTCAGCCAAGACTGTGTGCCTGACAAAATCAATTAGACTTGTAAGATATTAGATCACAAGCTTGAGGAGCAGCCCCAGTATTTGGTGTGGCTCTACACAGGATGCATTCAGGGACAGTGTTGAATTGTAGGCCAGCTGTGTTTTGCAGACCCACAGCAGCGTGTGAAAGTTATGTAAATGAAGTGCGTAACGGAGAAAGCTAAGCAGTCAAACAGGTAAATGTGGTAACGTGGCAAATCCTTCAGCTCTGAAAGGTAAACATGTTCCTGTCAGCAAACGACTAACAAAGCAGGCTCAAGTACAGACGAGTTAACATTACAAAGCTCCTGTCATCTTGTTGTCACTGTGTGCGTCATGACAAATGAATGAATCCATAGCTTCCCTGGGACAAACTGATTTTGAGGTCAGTGGAGGCAGTCCAGACAGCTAGAGCCTGTTTTCTATTGACACAGTTATGAATAGACAAGCCAAAAAAATAATTCAGTTACCAAGCTATAGTGGCATATTGTGCTAAACCATGTAGCAAAGGTTCACCTAAACTGTGACTGTGATGAATAACGCAGTAAAAACCTTGACAAAAGGAAAAGAATTTCTGTCATCTGAAGGTCTTCCTGGGTACCTGCTTCAACGCCGATATAAAACTGTAATCATCCTGTTCAGTGACTTCTGGTTCATTGTAGGAGTGGACAACAAGAGACAAACCACCACCACTCTGAAGGGACTTTTCTTTGTGAGCAGCTATTTTGTGAAGATGAAACAGGATGCCGATTGAGCACGGAGCTGGTTCAGTAGTTGGATCATGTCTCTTGTCCTCCAGGAGAACAAGGTGGGGCACTCTTGTTGTTTCTTGTTAGGGCAGAGACACACCAAGCCGACGTGAAATAAATAACAGCGATGAAGGCCAACTGTTGTGTCGCCTCACGTCGGCTTTGTCTGGCCCATTCAGAAAAGGAAAGAAGAAGAGCTAGATTGCAGAAATAGAAGCGTAAATAAACCAGCTCTCATTCAACTCAGCTGCTGTTTTTAGCTGCTTCTAAATCAAGAATATTTCTGATAAGAAGTTGCAAATGACACTGCTGTTCTCTGCTCTCGGTCTGTTGCTTGTGGAAGAGGAAAGGAGGTTGTGGAGGTGAAAAACCAGGGGAAATTGCACTAAATGTGTGAAATCATGGATACTATAGCAACCAGGCTACATCGACTGGCGGGCGGCTGGTGACTCGGTGTGTCACGGCCCTTAGATTAATCCTTGACATTTATACATCACTTCCGTGAGAGCAAAACTGTTCATATAGAAATGCACTGTAAGAGGCAGAGATTTAAAACTAAATCCAAATAAATAAATAAATAAATAAATAAACAAACAAATAGTCTATGAAATACCATAAAATAACATCACAAATCAATGGCTGTGTGTGCTGTCACCTGGAGTGTCTGAGATCATAAAGAAATGACATACCTTGTCATTTAGGACTCAAGCGCCTGATCCCAGTGGATGGCAGAGGATAGGTCCAACAGCAACAATTTGCTTATCTAATAAAAAAAAAGGATAAAAGATAACATGAGCACAATCACCAACAACTCTCCAACTGCTTCAGCCCATTTGGTTCAGCGAGTATACATTCATCTTATAGCTCAACTATAAAATCACTGTGGAATGATGAAGCGCCAACTCTGATAACCCCATCTCCTGTTGATGCACATGTCATACACTTATTTGGAATACATACAGTATTGTTGTATTGATCCTTTGTGTAATCTATTGTAAGAGGTGGTGGAAAACTGCCAAAATCCAAATTGTCTGGTGTCGCTTGGCCCACGTTTCAAGGTGCATGTTAATTAACATTCAAATTTAGATCAAAAGAAGCGCATCCTCTCTCATCATGTTAAGTTATGCTTGTTAGAGGTTGGCTTTGCAACTCTGCAAGCTAATGCTCAACAAAAAAAATTGGATCTGTTAGTGAATATTTCAGCTACCTGCAGAGGGCTGATGAATGGAGGTGTAACTTTAAGGTTTAAGGCATATCGGACAGGGATGGGAACTGATAAGATTTTATTGATACCAATACCATCTCACTGACAGCAGCAGACTAAAAATCCATTTTCACCACAACCAGTTCTCAGGAATTTTCATTCTATGCTAACATATTAGCATTCTATGCTAACATGTTTTGACAAAAATATGAATGAAACATGACCAAAATTTGGAACTAGAACAAGAAAAGCACAAAATACCTAATTACTTAAGTGTATTTTATAAAGATAAACCAGAAGTTGCAAAAAACTAAAATAAAATAAAAAAAACCTGAATGCATCTCAAACACTGAAATGAAACATGATCTTGCATGTCAACATAACAGCATTGTCCGAGCATGTGTGCACGAAGAAGCCTTGCCGGCTGATCTGGGACAAACAGAACCAGCTAAATCATTCACCACTCCTCTGTCGTCATCAAGCACAATAGAGTTATAGAGCAGGAAACAGGGAGGGACAGACAAAGAGAAATTCTGACTTGTATTACATTGAACTGGCACTCAGTTTCTGCTCCATTTCCTCTTGGGTGCCTGCGTCCACACCACATCTATTTAGGATACTGAATTTTGTCAGACAAAAAGTATTGGGGTGGGGGTGGGAGGCTTTCCAGCTTTCATTTACAGCCCCATAGCAACTGCAAACATAAAGTAAAGCTAAAAATAACTGGGTGAAGAAAACCACCTGCATCTTGTCTACAAGAGGCCCATCTATAATGAGGAAGTAATTAGTCCTGTGCACAATTAGATTACATTTTACTAACTAAATGTATAAGTTATAAATAACCAAAAAGGACCCTGCACATATATTAGGCTAAAGTGTGTGGTTTAAGAAAACCTCTCTCTTGCTGTTCTACTATAAATTTGTACATTTTAATAAAGAGAAAAGGTGAAAAGAGGACACATCAAGCTCCAAGGCTCCTTAAAGAAGTCGTCACAACACTCACATATACGGGGCCTTACAGAGACATTAGAGGCAACAGTACGGCCTATTATTCCATGATGTCTATTATTACAACACATAATTAAAGCAGAATACAAAAACTCAAAGACAGAAAGGGCAGGGCCTATTTTTGCTCCTTAAGCAGTCAATATCACAGATGGAGCCAAGTATTAGTTACTTGTTTGTTTTGTTTGCTATGGTAATAATGACATAATTATGGATTACTGGGCTAATTGAGTTATACCAGTTTCTCTGGTCCTTTGCTACGGCAACAGATGCTGCAGAACATTGTAAACTACAACCTGGCCAGTTTTCAGACTGCTCTCAAATGTGACACTGTGAGTCAACAGTTTAAGGCGTGTTTGTTTAATGACATCAACAAAGGAAGGAGATGCCTGTGGATCAATGTGGGTTTGGACGTAAACACAGAGCTGTGCTCAAACTGCTAGCCAGCACATGACACCCCAGGCAGGCAATGGTGTATTAGAGTCAGTGAACAAGGTGCTGAACAGTCCATGTCTGTTCAGCCTGGATAAAATCACAGCCCACTGCAGCAACTGAAAGCCAAACATGGAAATTCTTTGTGGTCACAAACCCATCGCTGTCTGTGTGCGTGAACCAGCTTTTAGATCATTTGATGCTTACCACCACCTGTACCCAACAGTGAGCTTTTAACATTTTGCACAAAAATGTAGCTTGGGTGATGTTTTCATGAATTAACTGCTCTAAAAAATATGATTCCACCCAAATCACACTGGATACGACGACTCAGGTAACAACCAGGGGCAGTGCCAGCATGTGTCCACATGTGGTCCTAGCATCACAGACTGTACAGGAGGGGCGCGTTTGATTCATTTTGTATGAAATGATGAAAATGGCAGTTTTGCACCAGTGTACTGAGGCACAATTTTCCTTTCAGTGTTTGAGTCTGAGAGCCAAGAATAGATGGTTTGTCTTCGAAGACTGGCTGAACATAAACGTACGGTATGTGCAAATCCACATCATGAGCGAGAATAAAAAAATCTGATCATAAGTAGTCACTTGACATACCTATGAGGTGCATGCTGAAAGCAGATGTGAGCTGTAATGCATCACAACTGGATGTAGACAACCTAATGAGGGTCGGACTCTGCTCTGCCCTGCCGTCTCATCATTCCAGACTACTGGGGAATCGATCCTGGGCAACCCGTCTCATGACAACTGTTTCTGTTAACCCTGCCTTTTACAAAACAGCCAATCAAATCAAACATACAAGTGTCAAGAAACTGAGGTCTCTGGGTGTTCCAGTTGGAAAACAATTATAATTTAAACACACGAGACTCAAATAAATAAAGAATAAATTGTGATATCCAAACCAGAAAGGATGAACATACTAACTCAGTGAGTGTTTAAAAGGGACTTCTGGCAGCATGTTCTTCTACAGTGAATATGAATGAAGGTGAATATGGATGAACCAGGCTGCACTGAGCCCAGTGTCCCAAACCTTATAAAAATATTCAGTGAAAACAAAATTCTAAGCAAATCTGGGCAAAGCGCATGCAACTCAGGTATAATATTATAAGGAGACTAGCCAACTACAATGTGTTGAAGCCCGATATATGCAATAAACATTACAGTTCCCAGGTCCACTTTGCAGAAATGCTGGATTTTCCTAGCAGTGTACAATCTAATCTTTTCCCCGTGTATTCTGTGGAGGAGACCGGAGCCGTTTATAGCATGGACCTATGTGGGGTCTTATCTAACCAGCAGACAATAAACTGGAGGAGGATTTGGTTTTAGGGACATCTCCTTATAGACAGGAAGAGAGAATGAGGCAGAGACAGATAGATCAGCATGTCAAATGTTTCCTCCAATACACCGCCTTTCCACTGGATGAACGACCTTCGTTGTACTTAATAGGTTATTCATTTGATATTGACATCTGTACATTACCTGCCATCTGTTATGCCAGCTTTAATAGCCAATGGGCAACAGACCAAAAACTATAAAATAAAAACCTTTAAACATACCCTACACTAGGAGTGATTTATCGTTATAAAAAACTAAAGTAGTACTCATGTTGTTGTCTCAGTTCGTCCTTAAGTTGTAAATCGTAGTTACCTGCCAGGTGTGTTGCTAAAATATGAAACTATTTAATAACATTTTTAGTTATAATGTGGATCATTAGGGGAAAAATGGGGAAACGATGCATCTTCAAGATCAATAATAAAGATGTGTCTCTAGAGCAGTTAAATTTGGTACAAAGAAGTGTGTCAGTGCTCTTTATAAGTCACTGGGGCTGAGCTATTGCCATAAATGATTTATATCAGCCTGGGGCACCTGTAGTTTGAGTATAACATGCCCCAGGGTTTGTTGTGTTGCTTCGGTTACCATGGTCTCTGTGATGTTTCATAAAAACCAGCAGTTTAACATTAACTGACAAATCCCATGCAACTATGAGAAAGCGCATGCACAAATCTCTGAAGCAGCACACTGTGATCAGATCAAAATCCCATCGTTAATCTACATGGACATGATTGGTTTGACCACAAACGGTCCCGTCAGATAGCTCCCCTCTCTTTTTCAGGTAACTACACTTGCAACATCAAAACTGTAGCCACCACCTGCAATATAATCACCATTTGTTTCACTTTCAAACACTTTGTCCTGTCACTAGACTCAGAAGGATCTGTGAGCTATGGAAAGGCTCAAAGGATTACAGAGAAACACCACAGACAAACTCGTACCCAAACCAGTCAAAGCACATGCACAACAGCCGCGCTGTGTGTGTGTGTGTGTGTGCAGATTGGACGTCTGTAGCAGAAGCTGGCTGAAAATGTTAACTCCATGTTGACCCCTGCTCTGCTGTGTCCAAACTGGAAAAGATGTGAAACACACCAGCAAGGGAAGGGGTGGGGTGGGGTGTGCATTCCTCTCTGCAACATCTGAGGCAAAAAGGTATGATTTCATGGATGAGAAGAATCCCATTTGCCACCCTTATCTTTAGCATCCTCCATATTAATATGTGTGAAGGACGGGTGCACTGTAGTTTCTGAGCAGTTTGAAATGACGACAACGAAGCTGCTGATGCTAAGAACTCAAATGAAATAAATTACTTGGCTGGACCTCCAGCTATCATCTGTCAGATACATACAAATTGGGCTTATTTCAAAAGACATCTGAAGTTAGTATTAGTTTGCAACATGTTTGTAGCAGAGCACACTTCAATCCTCTCTACAGTTACAAAAAGCCTGAGAATTTATGGGTGGTGGTGTGTAGCTGTGCACTGATACATTTCAGGATTAAACCTGGAAGAGATCCTTACATTTTGCTTACACTCAGTGCATCTCACTGTCCATTTTGATCATTTTCAAAACTCACTGATAAACCATTTTGGTCTATAAAATGTCATAAAATTAACATGAAACCTTTTCAATGTACTACCACACAAGACCAAAATGGGGCAAATCCACGTACGTGTGCCAAGTAATTAAATTTTACCTGCATGGAAAAACAGGGGTGATGATGTCAGGACAAGTTTATCTTTGAAACTGAAGTGGCTGAAAACAGCGGTCTGAACACCATGAACATGGCTGACTATGCCAACAACACACCTGGCTAAGACCATTACCTCCAAGCTGCAATACATCAAAAGTATGTAGACATTAAACGTGCTCACTTGTCCACATCTACAGCTTTATGACTTCCATACTGCTCTAGCATGTTTTATTATTTCCTATTTATAAGGGTGGAGGAACATAAATCTGTTCAAAGCTTGGTTTGCTTACGTTGGGAGAGGAAATGTGCATTTACATGGTGAAAGGAGCAGAAAGAAGCTGGGGGGGGGTAAAGGTTCCCTATCTGGTAGAAAATGTCAGTAGACAACAGTAACACTCAGACAACACTTGCTCAAAAAACTGTGTTAAATAACTGTTCAGCATCAACACCCCCCAGCCCCAGCCCAAACATTTAAACATCCTTTTTCTCATCAACTGATACCACACTGCTTTACAGTTCAGCAGCTCTCACCGTGTCCTGTTTCAATGGGAATTACACCACCTTAAGGAAGTAAAGATACTGTTTCATTAGGCTTGTAAAGGTTCTGCCAAAAAGGAAGAACAGGCCGAGTTGAGCACAGCTGAAGAAAACAGTCTGGGGCCGTTTAGCCTGAGTAACCTAGTCTCAGTCCTTATACAAGTTTTAGATAAGGTATGTTGTACATGATCATTTGTGGACTATATAAATTGCATGTTCAGCAACAGGCTTTCAACCCCTCAAAGGAAACATGCCACTGTAAGATGGCTGTAATTTATGAGGTGAATATATTGAAGATCAGCTCAACAACATTTGCCTTTAACTAGATGATTGAATATTTCAATGGGGAATGGAGGGTATGAAAATAACACAACAGTGAATGCATATGGTTTGAGGAAACTAAAAGGTTGGACTGTGCCAACCATTGGTCAATATTTATTATGAACACCTGACCGATAATCTACAAACAGGTGGCCAACAGTTCTTAGACCACAGGTCTACAATAACAAACGGCAGCGGATACCTTTACATATATTTACGCAAGGATGGTCTTCGAATGCTAATTGGTCACTGTACCTGTTGCACAAAATGACAATGGCAGCCATCAAATTCAGTGTTTACGCTTTAGGGCAGGTGAGGCCTTTGTATCTCAACAAGCAGAACAGAGGACATTCATCTGCGTACTGTATAAATACCTGCTCTGTTTGTATCCACACACACTGCTGGATATTCTCCCTTGTGCGGCATAAAGCAGTCCACCCTGTCAGATTCTAGGGTTAGTTTTGGGTCAAGTTTGTATTGTATACATACTGTACTGTCATACAGAGACGACTACCTCGATTTACAGTGTGCACGGTTTAAGTTTACAGCCAAATAGCTGTTCAACTGAGATGGACAACACCTACACTGCAAGCATAGTGTCAGACATGCCTCTGTTGTATTTAAAACACAAAGCATTCACAGATGTAATTCAGGATTCTTACAAAACCTGAACCACATGCCTGCCGCCAACTTCACCTGAACACTGTTGGGTTCATGGAGTCCTGAGATTTCCCTGGGCTGTTTCTTTTCTTGGCAGCATTTTCCAGAAAAATAACTGACAAACATCTAAATCACAACAAAAAATGGTCGACAGGTATGGATGAACCTGCTGCAATCAAACCTAGAGATTACCTCCACATCTATCTCAAACCCTAATAGGATTTAATTAGAGTGCAGTTAAGTGGGGTAGTAATCTGATTAACGAGGTGCTATGAAAATAAAAACCCCGATGTTTGTGTACAGCTGCACCATATTTGTGTCTGTAATCCTTCGTCTGAAAAGCTGCTGCTGTTGCAGTGCATCTGTTACAACAGCCGGTACTGGGGGTGCCAGTAAATGCGTCCAGGTGAAGGACTTACAGAAATATAATAGTTTGAGCTATACTGGATATACTGGAATATAATAGTTTGAGCTATACTGGATATACTGGATCCCTGCTGATGCCAAATAGATGCAGTCAAATGTCCAGCCGTATACAGCTGCAGATATGAGAATGCAGCCGTTTAAATCTCGTCACCGTCCAAAACCCACTACTGTATCACAAAACGAATATGGTCACAAACATTAGTAAGTGGGTAGCATTGATGTGAGGCTCCAATGTTATAGTTTTACTGTAAAACTGGAATGAATTCATGTAAGACTCCGGTCGGACAAGCATCTGAACGGGACCTCGGTGGTACCTACTACCGCCGCGCTACAGCTAGCACTGATGTTAGCATGCGAGGCCCGGGGGACACAGGCAGCAACTTGCGAGAGAAAGAGACTTACCCAAATGGCTGTTTTGTTAGAGTCTCATTTAATGATGTCCAGGTCAAGGGAAGGGTGCTACAATCCAAACAATACCCCGAGGAGTGGGCATTAGCTAGCTTTACCCGGGTAGTTCAGTTGGGGTGTGCTGATGTTAGCAGCTAGCTAACGTTGCCCACTTACAGAGCGACTCCGGGCTGGCCCAGCTCACACATTCTCCCCAGCAAGCCGTCCTCAAGTTGTTCAACGTTGTCGGCCCTAAATGTTTTCAGAGTTAAAACATTTCCCTCCCGGTGTTACGCCAACAAACGAACCAAAGGCGAAGATAAAAGCAAAACTGTCCTTCAAAAGATAAGACTTAGTGACACAAAGGATTAAAAAAAAAAAAAAAATTCCAATATGTCCACGACTTTCAGCAAGGAAATACAAAAGGCAAAAACACGTTCAACCTCGGGCAGAGCGAAACCCTTTCCTCTGAACTGTGCCGCACCCAGATGTTTTCATTCATTATTTCCTTTCGTTTAATCAGTTGGCAGAAACGCAGCTTGGACAGAGTTGAGTGCGGATACACTTACGTTTGGGAACAACATGAAGCAGCAGCTTTCCTCCCTGCGCCTTGTGTGCCTACATGTAGGGGTAGACTGTCCAGCCGAAGTCGCCTTTCCAGCCCCACCGAGCCCCTGGGGTGATGCTTTCACTACCTCACCCAGACACTTTCAGAAAAGCCCGTATCTCCCAGATCCAGTGCTTACACAACACTTCTTCCTGTCTAATAAACCTGTGTCGAGGCTGCTCTGTTAAATTCAGTGAGTAAACAATGAGTATACAGGGACCAGGCGAAAAACAAGACGCTTTATTAATCCTTTCTACATGTGTACAGAAAGATGTCAGCGCTACCTACAACAGTTTGTCATTTATGTCAACCCAGAACACATAATTAAGATTTTATTAAATTAAAAAGACGCCCATTTGCACGAAAAACGGCTATGCCAGCGATTCAAATCATTTTTTACCATGTTAAACTCCTTTAAAAGCCTTTTCTGTCCTGTGGCGCCCCCTGGTGTACAGAGAACGTTTTCCTTGCAGGCAAAACTGAAACATTTAGACATGGAGGCCTCCAAAAATATGGTAATGGGGTCATGGAGTCAATTATGTTCTTATTACAAAGACATAGAGCGAGATCCCCAAAGTGTGTCCATAATCACAACAGGACACTAAGTTTTCCAAGGTGCATTCACAGTAAGCTTCTGTGAGCCGTCTTGACTGAAACGTGCAGTTTAAAGATGCTGTACTGCACCATATGTAAGACCTATTGATTTTAACATGGTGTCCAATTACTACGATAAATATTTTAAATAATTTAATAGAACATGAATGAAAATTTGATGTGTTCTCTGCTTCATCTGTTAAGACGACTGTAATGCTCCATAAGATAAGATGAACAATGTTTTCATACATCTCCAAGAGCTTTGCTCTTAAAAAATAGTGTAATAATTTAGGTGAGTGATTAGCATTTAGACAGTGCCCATAACATGCAGCTGTTCACACATAATTAGGCCCTAATCTCAGAAGACATTTTGACATAATAGGAAAAACACAGGTAAATAATTCATTGTGTGACAGCTGATTTATCTGCTTCATATTCATGGTCATAGCATCATGTGTGCTGGCCCACTGCCATTTTAATTCTGACTGGTTCTTTTGTCTGAAGGCCCCAAGAAGTAACACTCAGGAAACAGGAATCAGCTCTAAGTAGATTTATTTTCTTCTGGTTAAATGCAGAGTTATTACAGCGCTGGGCTCTGAGAGATGACAAGTCTCCAAGAGCCTCGATAATCAGAATTAATCATTCACATTTATCTTCTCGGGCTGCACATCAATATTCTAGAATGTTCATATAGGCAGTATGTGTGTGTGTGTGTTGTTATTTTCTATTTTCAGGCGTTTCTCTCCAACTAAAAATGGACATACAGTTAACTGTGTCACTTACTTCCCTGATTCTGTTGTAAAAAAAACCCTTACTCATAGTTCAGACATGGGTGAATAGTTCAAGCCCGTCAGACTTCACGTCTGTAAAATAGCATAAATTAACAGTATCTTATCTATAGTTTTCAGAACGACACTTATCTATGCAATCTACTCTTGCACAATTATCCAAGAAAATAAGAAATACTACAAGTTGACCTGCAGCTATTGTGCATGTATAAGAGCCAGGTTAATACTGATACATGGTGCTGTTAATAAAACACAGACAGTCATACCAAACTTTATCATTATAAAGCTAAATAATACTAACAGTAAATAAAACAAGTGTAACTCCTGAAATCCAATCCTAACAGCCACACTGTCACAGCTTACTGGGACACTTCAACAGAACAGAGCCATTGTTCATGTTATTAGTAACACCTGGATCTTTCCCACTTTGACAAGTTACACACCAATAATACATTTGATGCAAAGCCATTTTATCACCTGCATCCAGACAATTAGAAAAATACTATAACTTTATATTAAATTACGTTTGTTTCCTTCAACTTAATCAGTCCCTTGCACTGAAAGAAGGCATCTTGAGAAGGTGCACGTCCGAGGAAGGTTTCCAGCATGTCCATTCCATCCACAGAGCCACCAGTTTCCAGAATCACCCTTCTGTA